TCTATCTATCTATCTATCTATCTATCTATCTATCTATCTATCTATCTATCTATCTATCTATCTATCTATCTATCTATCTAATTAAATTTATTTATCTAACTTATATAGTTGCCCATTTCACCAGCAAGTGACTACGAAACATAAACTAGTAGTATACATTATGCATAAAAATATCTCAGAGAACTTCAAAGCATAAAAAATTAGCACACACTGATGAGCTAGCATGCATGAAGGAAATGTCCAATAGGTTATTTGGGAATCCTTAATTTATGCTGATGCTAGTGAGGGAGCTATTAGTTGGGCTTAGTAAAACATTCAAAAAGAAATACTTTGAATGTTTTATTTGTAAGTGTAAATGAAATACTGCTGTTCAAAAATTTTAGACCTGTGAAGTTTTTCTGAAAGTTGCCCTTGCATGTGAAGAAAACCAGGCAAAATTTGGGAAACTTTTAAAATTCACAGCTGTGCTATGTGAAGAGATAACTAAAGAGATATCAACATTTGGTATGAATGATATTTGATATTTTGAGGTTGGCCCACAGACCAGCTTTAAACACCCTGCAGGCAGAATGTGGCCCACAGACCTTAAATTTGACATTCCTGAATTAGAGTGAAAATTCTATAAGATGAAACTTAACATAGGATCTTCTGGAAAAAATTAAATAAATAGCAAATCAGTGACTATTAACACTGCTCAGTGACAATTGAATATCATCAAGGTCCATTGAAACTACAATCCCATAGTTATATTCATCACACACACCTAACATCTTGTCAGAAACCACAGAAAATAGATGCAGCCATCAAGAGAAAGAAGAGGCAGACCTTGATATGTGTTAGTTCACAGAAATAATATTACTACACTTTTAATTGGATAATGGTGTAATTTTAATATACATGAATTTATATTAGAACATTATAAAAAAGAATATTTAATAGCTGCTGCCGCTGCCAAATTTTCTTTTTATAAAGGCAAAGTCATAAAACTACTAATATAAATGAAAGCTGCACTATACAACATCAAAAAGTATTAATATTGCAGCAAATCATTGCAAGAAAAATGTATGAAAA